ACATAGCCGCTGAAGTTTTCATTATTTTAATTTAAATAATTATAGTAATTTTTGTCTGTTTTATATTTATTCTTCGTCTTATCATCAATTACAGAGAATTTTTTTTCCAAGCAATTAAATGATCTCTTGATTTAGGTTCATCAGAAATAAAAGCCATATTTACATATATGCCAGTCGTTCGACTGGATATTTTAATCAATTTTCTTTGTAATATCAGCAAAGGTTCATCCAATAAAAGAAAAACTCATCTCGGCAACGACCAGTGCCATATGATTTTTTCTCCTGCTCTACGTTCGGGTGGCATTGGTCTGGTTATATTTAAAAATGCAAACACAAGCAACAACAAACAAATGGCTAGCAAAAAATCAGATACGAACCCCCACCAAAAAAAAAAAAGTAAAAAAAACCCTGATAAAAAAGAAAGTAAATATAAAAGAGAAGCTGCAAGCAGAGAGAAGAGCGTTGGAAAAACACATCGCTATGAAATATTGCCAATCAGAAATGAAACCGAAAATAAATCGATTGTTTCAACAAACGCACAGAGCACAAAAACACGAGCAACGGCGACAGAGTTGCAGCCAAAATAACGGCAGCGGCTAAGGATAACGAGGACATGGCCCTGATGATGCGGACTGAAAGAGACAGCTGCTGCACGCAGAGAGACACAGAGTGACAGAGAGTGAGAGAGAGAGAGAGTGTGTAAGTGAGAGAGGGAGAGCTGGTCAGGTTGAGGTAGGTGGACAACAGTTCGCCAAAATTTTGTTGTTGCGTTACGCGAAAAAAGGCGAACGATGCGGGAAACGGCAGCAATTGGGGATAGTGAATGCGAGGACTATAGGCGTGGCAGGCTGCGCTGGCTGAGGGGAGCGGGCAACAGCGGGTGACTCGTTGCACGCTGAGTGATTGCTGTGTCTGTGAGTGTGGGTGTGTGGGTGCAAATTGAAACAGAGCTGAGAGCTGACCAGGCCTAGGCCTCGTCGTGTCGCATTGCTGCTGCTGGCCAGCCTCGCGGGCACAACAAGCGCGCTGAGTGGTTGCCAGGGAGTTGCGATCCAGAGAGGGAAGGAGAGAGAGAAAGAGTGAGAGAGAGCGAAAGAGTGAGCGAAAGCGAACGAGTCAGAGTGGGGTTTAGCACACGTTGCATTTGCATGTGCGGGGCATAATTGGACAGCACCCAAGTACGTCGCATTGTGTAAGTGCGTGTGTGCATGTGTGTGTGTATGTGTGTGTGTGGATAGAGAATCTCCGGCAGTCACATTGAATGGCAGCTACAATTCCGATTTTTTCTTCTTCTTCTCGCTGCCTGTACGCCGTGTATGTGTGTGTGTGTGTGGAGGCCTTTGCATATTGATGACGCTGCTGCCTCTGCTGCTGCTTTAGCTCTACCTCGGCCTATTCGTTCTCTTTTCGTTGTTTTTTTTTCTCTTTTGGGGGGGCTTTCGCTAGTTATTGTTAAGCCCGGGCCCAGGCCTCAGTCAAAAGGTGACATGCGAAATGTCCATGCCAATGATGTGGATGGCGCTTTAAACGAATCCTGATGAAACTGGGCCACACAACCAACCAGAGACAATGGAAGCTAAGCTTCAATTATGAAACAAACAGTCCGGCAGCCAAAGGCCAAATGTTTTGGCGCAAAGCTAAATTCAGCAAACATATAAATAGCTGACTTCAATGGCAGCCGCCGCTAGTTGAGTTGCCCAAAGTTGCATAGTAACTAACTAAGCTGAGCTGAAATTGTCTCAGACTGACAAATATTACTCTAGAATCTTAGCTGACTGTATAACTATATATAGCTTATATATAACTTATAAATAACTATAGTACATAACTATATCAATATATATCCCAATCAACATGGAGGACGAACAATAATTTCTATGGAGTTTTGTAGTTTTTTTAAATGATGGAATTCATGAAGCACTATCGAGAAAATGGAATTGCTCTAAATTATTCTTAAATTAGTCACAAGCAACCAATGTTAAGTTATGGTTTAGTCCACCTTAACTAACTAAAAATATAATATTTAGCATTCAAGAGCTTTAGAACTAACTAAACTAAATAATAAGTAAGCTCCAGAGTTAATTTTAATAATATCTATTTATATATTATATTAATTTTAG